AAAGGCGTGTCCAGTATTATTTTGTGTTTACGCTGAAATAACCACTGTGTAGTGGTTAAGTAACTCCCTTTCTTAGCATTCCCAAAATTCCTTTGTAGAGTAATACAGAACTTGACCCGCAGCCGCAGAAATCTTACAGGAAAACTGTGGTGCTGAATAGCTGTTTTATGGAAAAATGTGGGAGAGGAAAACACCATCAAAACTAATATTTAAGCTTTCTAACATAGCACCAGTACCAGTGGTTTAATCCTGGTAAACCATGGTATTCAAATTCCTCCTTGTTTAACCACTGTGGAGAAGCCAGTACAGTGTTCAGTAACCAGGTTGTTCAAAAGAGATCTACTGTATTTCTACCTGATGTAATTCGTTAAAAGAGTGCTATGCATTTTAAATGATAAATAACTCTGACGCTATGAATGCACTGGACACTCATTTAGTCCTTCCCTCTTCAGCTTATTGACTCTTAACGGTCCGGGAACTTCGGTCCGTTCTCAAGACTCGGTAAAAGCATTTCAAAGGCCCCTCGATATCAAGGGGCTGTTTAAAGAGCAGCCAGAACGGAAGCCGGAGATCCTGGAGATGCATGCGGTCGGAGTCGTGTGGGAGAGGCTGGTGCCCTGAAGAGCGTGGGCACGGGACAGCGGACTGCCAGCCCCGCGGTGGAGGGCGCGGCCCCCCAGCCTTCCGTGCGGGTCCCGGCGGTGTGCTCGGCGCCGCGCGGCTCACCCTGGCTGGAGACGTTCATGCACAGGTAGATGCCGTAGATCTGGTAGACGTAGATGGTCCCGGGCCTCATGAACATGGCGGCGTTCCTCTCGGTGCGCCGCCCGCCCGCGGAGTGGGAGGCCCGGTCCTCCCCGCCCAGGTAGGCCTCGGTCTCCACCACCCTCCCCCTCAGGACCGTCCCGTCTGCTCTCCTGCGCGCCAGCACCTGGAACACACGCACGCACACACACACACGCACGTGGGGCTCTGTGAGAGAGGAGAGGCACCCCAGGACGCTCATGTGTCTGGTGTAAAAAGAGCTGTACTGCGTGTACTGTGTCGCCATCCGGCCACCAGGTGGCGCCAGTCGCTACGATACTGTGGTGGTGCGACTGAAAGACTAACACCATCACCCTCAAGGGGAGGTCAACTGCGTGCTGTTACAAGGAATGGTATTTTGCAGACGTCTTCGTCCAGCAATAGGTATGCAATACGAATATCATGAATACATATCTAAGCCACATAACCTGTACAACGCCAGTGCCTGAGCAATTTTAGCATAAACCTTATATTCTCACGTACTGACCATTTTATATTTCTTACAGATGAAATTAAGGATAATGCAAAACGTCTGGGTATGAAAAAAAAATCTGCGTAGTCAGGCAGATAATTATTCAGTCATTACTTCTTCTGTGAGGCATGAAAAAACACAACAAATGTCCCTGTTCCAATACTCAGGGGAGGGGCTGTTAGTGCCTCTCAATAGATGATAAATGCTTCAGCTACACAGAACAGAAATCCCGAACCGAGAAGCAGCTCCTAAACCACAGGCGACGCTGCCCCGTTTGCTGGCACATCGCCTCCCGACACGCACATGGCTACGCTGAAGAGAAGGCAATGGCTTTATCTTATTCCGCAGGGGCCGGGAAGCAGGCCCACAAGATAACTGCTTTCACATGGCTCATTTTACACTTCACTGAGCACAGATCCCATTTCCACTGGAAGGAAAACACACAGCAGACCGCGTTCCCAACGAGGGACCCTTCCTGAGCCAAGGACTCCAGGGAATGAGGGCAAAACGCAGGAATTTTTATTGTGCTCAGATAAGACTTGTGAAGTTTGACCTGGCCTCTCGAACGTTCCGAACAGCGGAAAACGACAATGTTTTAGCACAGTGTCTTTTCTTTTCTTGTTTAGGGGGAATATAATAAACCAAGCTTTGTGCATGTCCGATAGCCACAGGGGTAGATTAGTGGTCTTTATCACCCCTCCAGCTGCCCAGGGGTCACAGGTTTGAGGCGCCTCCTGTGAGACCAGGTCTCTCTAACTCCTCGCTTGTGCAAACGAGCCAGCTCCGCTTTCCTGCAGCCCTGAAGCACTCTGGAGCGTCGCCGAGCTCCGGGAACCTCAGTCCCACCGGCCCCTTATTTAACCAATCAGCCGAGAACAAGCTCTGACCTGGTGAGTACCCGTTTCTGCAGCTGGGCGTTTTACCGGTGCATTCTGAGCGAAGCGTTTTCTCACGAGCACAGCGTCAGGGCCCGAACCAAACTAACTTAGAGGGAACTGAAGCCACAGCCTCCAAGTGCCAAATCCAGAGCCCAAGTGCCCAGACGCAGGTGACCCCTGATTCAGTGTGGGCTGCCTGTATTTGTCTATTAGCAGCCCTTGAAGATGGAAACTCCCCCACGTTCCAGCCCACTGCTACAAGGTGGCTCTGCACCACTGCATCCAATCGGGACCTCCCTTAGGCGGTGTAGTTTGGGACCCCTTTGTTAGACAAACGGCACTGGGCCCATCTGAATGACATTCCCTGGAAATTCAAAGCCAACGTCCTGGGCTGGTTTCGCAGCCCCAGTCCTGGTGAAGGGGTCAGTCCCTGTCCCAGTGATGCTCAACTCCAGTGGAGCAGGCCAGTTTAATCACCAAAACACAGCAAAAGGAAAACTAATGTATACAAAAGCCCTGCTGCGTTTTTTTTTAAAGTTATTATTATTATTATTATTATTATATTAAGAAGTCTCCGTGGTAACTCAGTGTACAACTGGCTCTCATCATAATCCAGCAATTAAAATATTTCCCTTGATGGTTGTTTATTAAAGTTAATTACAGAGATTAATTGTCCTTTGATCAGCGATCTTGGGGAACATGTTCTGACACGTGGAGTGGAGTAATACACTTTCAAGACCTGATGGCAATATTTTGTTAAAATGAGATGGGTCAATACGCTGCCCATAACGGAGAAAAAGTCCCAAAACACACTGATGGTACACCGAAGGATTCTGAGTGCCTTTCACATTATTTTACCTGCCTTTTATAAGGAAATCGCCTACATACGGATGGTACCCCCATATATGTGCTATTGCAAACTGTCTCAACATAATCGGATACATCACTGCTGATTGAAGGAGTACTCACCTTTCCCAGGAATGCTTTAGCTAGGCTGATGCACGGCTGGTTGAAGAAGTCCTCTCCCAGCCTACAACAGCCTTTCTCCTTTCCTGGGAAATACGGGCTGGCCAGGCTCTGGGGAGAGCGTGTGTGCTCGCTACCGCCCCCTGCAGGGGCAGCCCCGGCAGGCGAGGACACGGGCTGGAGACGCGGGGGGCTGGCCTGTCCGTGGACAGCCTCTGCTACCGCCGAGGTCAGCTTTCTCTTTCGGCTCGACATCGTTTAGGTTGAACTGAGAAAACATACACTGTGTATATACAGACACACGAGAATCATGAACATCTCAACTTAATGCGTTATCCCCGAGAATCCTGCAAACGATGCGTAAAGGAATAATATTCCTCCCCCAGCTAACAAAAGTCAGAAAGAGGAAAACATCCAAGTACCCAAACGATTGCATTTATGGTGGTATCGTACTGCATTCCTATACCAACCTAGAATTACTGGCACTTAGATAACACCGTTACGAGACGAAACTAAACTATAAACCTACACGCGTGAATGGGCGCCTGTTGCGTTGAGTAATTTCTTCCCGTGACTAAGCGCCGAGAGACCGACTGAACCCACTCTTTTTACTCTCCAGGGATTAAATGTACGTTTCGTTGTGTGTCACAGGTGGAGGCAGGAGGGGAGGGGGGGGACGTGACTTCTACACTTCCAGGCAATCGGCCTCCCTCGCGTCTGGAGAGGGGCTGTTATTTGCACCGCTCCGCCCTGCGCGTTTGCGCGTCGCTATTAGAATGAATTAAAACGCTGCGGTGTAAATCCAGGCGACACCCTGCCGTGCCGGGGCGGGCGGAAAAACATCGATTCCCAGGCGGTGGTGGTGGCGGGTTTCTGATCACTTCCAGGAACGGGTCTGAAGATCAGTTTCGGTACGGCCCCGTGCCTCGCGTTATCAAAGGGGTCACCCTCACCATCGAGGCGGGGTACAGCCTGCCCAGTACGTGGCTTGCTCCGGCAGCGCGGCGACTCTTCACGCTTTGACAAGCCGGGCTGTAAAGCACGAAGGTCTCCACACTCTGACACTCATGCGGGCCGGCCCTTTTGAATCTGCGGCTCCTCGGTATTTTATCTAACCTCGCCTTTACGCATCGGGCTGCCCTCCCTGTCGGCGCTACGCACGGGGGCTCGCAGAGCGTGGCGGGACTGTCTTAAAGGGCCACCGCCGCCGAACAGGGAGCCTCTGAACTTGAGCCGACGGGATGGGGGAGACGCACGTCCCTCCTGCTTCCCGTGCAATACTGTGCAAGCGCAGATTTATCCGATAAGCGGCACGGAGATGATAGGCTGGAGCCGTGATCTAGGCAGCTGAGTCTCGGAAGCATTGCGAGACTTTGATCCAGTCGAAGGTTTCGTGATCCACGTGACCCGCAGCTCCTGGGCTCATTACGCGATTAAGGTTTAATTTACTATTAGTAAAAGGCTTCAGGTTCACTTGACCTTTTTTCTTCAATTCAGTGCAAGATGCTTTATTGGCACGAGTAAAATCAGTGTTGCCAAAATAAGTGTTAAAAGAAGTTGTTATTCTTCAAGTCGGTTAAAAGATAGGGATTCTAGTGTAATTGCTTACACTAATATAGCGCTTTTCTGGACACTCCACTCAAAGCAAACCAGCGCTGTCTTTCTCTGCTTATATTTTCATTAGTTCGACAGTGGGGGAAAAGGGTATATTTTAAATCGGCTGTATTACAAATACTTTTTCCTGGGGCGCTTTGAATTTTTAAACCCAGGTTGTCCGTCGTCCGGACCGACAGCTGGCACTCCAAACGCCGCCGCAGAGCAGAGGTCGGGCTCTGCAGACGCAGGGCGAGGAGGCGTCGAAGGAAAACCTCAGGAACTGAGCGGGCAGACCTGTGGATTCAGACAGGGCCGCACTTTCGTCATCAGAACAAAAACCGCATGTTTCTCGCATCCCTTTGGCCCTTACTGGATCAGGACAACGGACTTCTCGGCCTCCAAACTGCAAAATATCTTGCGTTACAAATCGTTTCGGTTCTCGCATCTTCACCCCTCGATTATTTATTTGCATAAGGTCGTTATTTAAATGCAATTTTGTTTTTTTAATACAGTTTTTTTTAAATGTCATTTCACCAGAAAGGAGAGCCTTTCACACACACACACACGCCCGCGTGATCGATCGGAGAACGGGTCATCAATAACGTTGTTCCCTCTTCCCAAAAAGCTTCTGTCAGATTGCCGAGACAGACGTGGGCGTGAAACGGTTCCCACCCCGGTGCATCCGTCACGTTCACGAATAGAGCCGTCCGTGTGTGTACAGGGACCGGCCAGATGGGACAACTTCATGTCTTTTTGACAAAATGCTTTGATGTTTTGATGTCCGCGACTGTTAGAATTCACTGGCAAAGTGCATTATAATAATAATAATAATAATAATAATAATAATTGTTGTTGTTAATCTGAAGGAAAACCCATTAAACATTAGATAGTAATAAACGCTCTTACTATATTTTAATATGCCTTCAAATCCTTCCGGTGGGGTTACTGAACCTCATTTAGGATCGGGACGTTTTAATTCCCACTTTGAGTTGGGCATGCGATGTCTTCAGGGCCTGGAGACAAAGCTATTTGAACATTACCAGATGGAAATCGTCAAACTGCGTGCCCATTCCCACCGGACCGCAGCGCGTAGGTACTTTTAATTGTATTTCCTGACTTGACCCGAGCATTCTGTGTACCGAATCCATCTGCGGCCGTTTACACACCAACATAAATCTCAGCAGTTCCTAGCCTTAGGCCATTAATGAATACATTGTAATCCATTCTGCACTATTTGGAGCTAGTTTTTGTAATTCTTCACACATCATGTACAGCAGAATAATTGCACCAGACTCATTTTCTTTAAAAAGGGTTATGTCCATTTTACAAAATCGGGTTGGAGTAGATCTTGTAATATCGCACAACTGCTTTCAATCTTGAGCCTGTCTCCTGTTGATTTGCTCACTTGTTGGTATTATCACAGTCACCTCCCGTGAGGTCTGTGAAGTGATTGTGCTCGTCACTGGCCTGCGCTTATCCGGACGCGACAAAGCTTTAAAACAGTTTTAGTTATTCAGGTCTGACTGCCACAATCTTTTAGCCGGATTTTGCAGGGCGGTTTGTCGACACACTTTTGCTTTTCTGTGTGATTCAAGGCCCGTG